GGTCGATGTAGGGTCGATGTCAGGTCGATGTAGGGTCGATGTCATGTCGATGTCAGGTCGATGTCATGTCGATGTCGTTAAATATTGCTTCTAAAAACCCATCAAAAAACCATTTCAACTGAAATATTGAGTTTGCTACACAGTTTTCATGTTTTGTGTTTTGAAAGCAATATTTAACGACATCGACCCTACATCGACCCTACATCGACCTGACATCGACCCTACATCGACCCTACATCGACCTGACATCGACCTGACATCGACCTGACATCGACCCGACAAAAGAAATTGTTAACTTCAGGTAATGAACAAAATTGTTGTATTATTTGTGAAATAATAAAAGCAATTAAAAGCTCATTTTTGTCATTCTTATAGATGTAACTATAGCTATACAAACATAATTCCACTCTACGGCAGATCACGATCCGCCGTTTAATAGTCACAGTTGTAATGAATTAATTAAATACCCTAGTCTCTAAGCTTGTCTAAAGTCACCCTAGCAACATACAACATCACTCTACGGCAGATCTTGATCCGCCGTTCAGTACCTTGTTCCATTATTTTGTCGCATCTAATTAGGTTAATTTGTCCGATTCGCAATCCGCCATGATCCGCCTGTCCGATCCGCAATCTGCCATGATCCGCCTGGCGTTGAACCGCTATTTTGTATACTACTGACATTACGGTTACCATATCTCTCGCCCTGTAGAACTCCGCCCCCTTCCCTTCCCGACTGCCCACAAATAAAGAAGATACTAAGGTTAAAAATTGTAATGATAATTCCAGGTTTTGCACCCAAAATATCTAATATAAAAGTAAAAGCGATGTACAAAGTGCTTGTGATCTTTATGTACTTTGTTCTCAAATAAAACGCAACATTTTTGTGTGGCAGCCGAAAAAAGGCTGTAATTATCAAATATTGGCCATCAAGAAACGAACAACTTTATGAATTCACACTGAGTTCAGTGGAAATTGATTGTGGTTAAGGAAACATTTACTAATGACCGATTCACCGAAAAACCTTGACTTGTCACTTGATCAATTAAACATTGCACCGAAAGACCATTCAGTTAACAGTTAAAAGTTTGTTATATGAGTCAAGCTTGGAAGCCCTGACGTCTTGGTGTCTTCATGAAAAATCAACATCTAAAACGGCTAAAGGTTCACCAAGTACGGTGCATAATATTCTATAGCATTTACAGAGAACCTAGTTGTCTCCATTAAAAAGTTCCCGGGCGACGCATACATACGGAACTTGGTTAATTCACTTTACCAGCAGTTCGTGTTCGACGCGTACATGAGTTCCAAGGGTGTAAAACAACGGCTTATAGACTATACAACTCAAACATGGTCTTCCCCTTGTACATGGATATATATTAGTGTCATCTTTCAACGTTTTCTTGTACTCCGTCTTTTTATCTGAAGACAAAAGAATAAAGTAATGTACACCAAATAAGCCTTTCAAAGCGAGCAACCGCTGTTCAGTTGACAACAGTCTCTCATGCACACAGACCTCACCAAAAATAAAAGCACGAAAATTTGTTATCATAACAATAGCTTTAGAGATTTGAATCTTCTTCGATTTGAGGCTGTATTCCAGGGTATTCCTACAAGACCTAGTGTTTGAGCCTTTTCAAATTAGCCTCAAWTTGGAAAAATGAAATGAAAATTTGTAGGGCTATTGTAATGACAACATTTTCTCGTGCTTTCTTTTATTTTTGGTAAGTTCTCTTTCCTTTGTTCTCTTCACAAGTGAGTCTGTTGTGAACTAAAAGAGCAGTCGCTCGCATTGAAGAGGAAAATGGAATTATTGTAAGATTCGCATTTTCCATAGTGTGCGGGAAATTTTCCTATCTTACCCTAGCATTCGAAAATTTTCGAAAACTTTGTCARGACTGAAAGTGTTGAAAAATGTTTCGACAACAAAGAAATAGGCAAAAATAAAAAATAAAAACACAAGCAAACAAAAACATTTCCGGTGGACCTTTYGAATGATTGTGTTCATTACTGAGGCAAACGGGAGAAGGAAATAACACGGACCCCATGTTTGCAACATACAACGTCGGTACAGTTATCATGTACGACTAGAACAGCACGATAAACCCCCGCAACCTTTCATATTTCATATTTTTTCATATAACCAGGAATGGTTTGAAATTTCTATAATAATGAAGTGTATGACAAAGGCAGATTGGTTACCCTCCCTTTTTAACAGGATACCTACATTTAACGTCGATTGCTGTCTAGGACTTCTATGTTTTTTAACCGGACTAGTTTTTGCATCCTTTGTTGGACTTGTTCGTGTTGTGATTGGTCGTTTGTTTGGACTGGTTGATTTTCGCTTCTCAGGGGTTCTCTTAGGAGATTTGGCAGGACTTGCTTGTGTTTTCTGTTTCTTTGGAGAACGCTCAGGGGACTTTGACGCACTTGTTTGTCTTTTCTTCGCGGGACTTTTCCTTTTAGTTTTGGTTGGACTCTTTCTAACACCTTTCTTCTAAAATACACACAGAATATCTCAGAAAACTGTAATCGTGTTGAGGGTGTATATTTGTTGGTCCAAACAGTCGAAATTCTTCAAAACCATGTCGTCATTATAAAACTTCTATCTGGTGAATGACACTATGCAAAGGAATAGAAGAATAGAAACAAAAGAAACCCAATAAAGAAGACTGGAACAGAAACAGAGTGATCAACACAATACCTGTACATGATGATCATAAATTTGTRATTTAAATACCTGTGATGTCTCCTTCTTCGGTGTTGCCACCCCATTTACCACTGGTTTCTCTTTTAATTTTCTTCAAAAGAAATACATATTCAGTCGACCGGCACATGCAGTACTTATTGAGAGGGCATTGATTCTGTCAGTTCTTTTTCAGTTTTTTTTTAAGGTGTCACGTACGATTTGAATTTTTTGGAATTTTATTGAATTCCTAAAATTTAACATATCCTCAAACTAATAGGCACACTTTCGTTGCTCTTTTAGCGAAATGTATTGTACTTTACTGTAATTAATCATCCGAGTATTGTTGATTCGGAGAGAAAGCAATAATTTCAAGCTTTATGGATGCTTTGATCATTTGATCAATAAGATACCTTGACGATTGTGGTGTATCATCTAATGAATCGTCATCAGGGGACGCATCCAGCTCTGACCGCAGCCTCTTGGCTACATTACCTGAACTGCAAACAGAACAAAAACACTTGTAACAAAGACTAAAGGCAAAACTCTGAAAACAGCCATCGTATACAAGTAGCAATGCTCGATTTCAGGTAATGAATAAGGAAATTGTTAATCCATTTCCTATATAACCGATTGGCAATGTGTAACGACGTCATTTTGTGCAACGAAGCATGATTGGAGTTGTACATGTAGTCCTCACACTTCTTCATGTCCGCAGCCCTCCAATTGCTCTTTCTTTTTTTAAAATAGAAGAAGTTGTAACCTTTCTACAATGGAATAAGAAGTCTTTCAGAGAGATTTTTTAGGCGGCTACAACTCCCATTATGATTTGTTGTACAAAACTTCACGRGACACGGTGATCCGACAATAATAGGCCTGCCGTCTGCCATGGCTGATCGCCAATGGCAAGCTGTTGTACGTGACGTCTCGGCCGATGAGGCAGGGTGATGAATATGACGTTGTACAAAATGGCGTCGCTGCACATTGCTTGCCTATTGAAAAATTCGCTCTCGGTTTCATAAAAGTTACATCATCACAGCTAGGACCGAAAGGAAAACGGAGGGCAAGGAATATAATACTGCCGTGTGTTCAACAGGTATATAGCAGTCTTTAAATTTCCGAAGATTATCTGCACTGAACAAACAAGTATCAAATATCCGAGTTTCTGGCATCTAAAATGATAGTAAATTAAATACCTGTTACGTTGACTTTCTCTTTTAATTGGAGATCGTTTATTGGGAGAAGATTCAGGCTTCGCTGGGGACGTTTTGKTTCGTGTTTTACGTGGAGATGTCCTTGTTGCTTCTTTATCACTTGTTTTTGATTTAGTTGGTGATTTGTTTGTGGAAGAATTCTCTTTGGTGGTATTTTTAAAAGACGGTTTGCTGTCGCTAAGTATTTTTCTCTTGACCATCAATGGGCTACTTACATCTAGTAGAAAGACAAAACAACTTTAAATAAATAATCTTATACATTAACTAGTTCCAAGATCTTTTTTTTAAATCAAGCATTCCGTAGCTTTTTAAGGCAGATAAAACTTAGCACGCTAAAACTGAGTGTCTTTGGTACGGCAAACATTAAGTTCAGCGTTTGCCCAACATGGATCTGGCGTCCATATCGACAACTAAAAACAACAACCTTATAATCATCAACAGGAATATTGAATTATACCTGGACCTGACTCCTCTTCACTTATTTCGCTTTCATCTATTGCTTTTGTCTTTTTTCTTGTACTTGTTCTTTGTACGCTTGCAGTCCTTTTCCTGCAAGTAAAAAAAATTCAATAAGTCAAGGACATTGGAATAGACATTAACTTGACAACTAAAAACTGAGATGTGCAGCAATATACTATGTAAATGTGTAGTAGCATGTTTGCATTCGAGAGCCGTTACAATCAGTTGTTCGATGTTGCTTTCCGGTTTAATCAAAGGTTCTCAGATGCACGTGGGGCTTTCAACAGAAAATCATTTTTATATAAGTTATCTAATTTTTTTTCTTATCCCAACGAAAAAAATATTTATGTAAAATAAAGATCGATAAGTCGATTAGCATGGTAACCTATTTGTAACCTGGGAAGTAACCTATTTGCCATAGCTTGATGAATGTTACAGAATGCGTACCTCTTATCGGCAGTCTTAGTTCCGCTTTCTTCCATTTTGTTTAAAGCTACTTTGAGCTGTTTCTTACTACTTCTGAAAAAAAAAATGTTTTATAGATAGAGAAAAAAGTACATGCTTATGTACTTCTGATAAAGGATATCACATGTGAGCGCAGAAGATGAAATCCGTATCTCCGATCCAAGTGACCATGTAAACAAAAAAATAAAAATAAACGTCCGGCAATCCATTTTTTTTTTAATCGACGGAACAAACGTAATTTCAATTAACTGAYCAAGGGAAATGGAAAAAAGACCGAAATATTGATACTGTAAAAAAAGTCTGGGAAAAAAGGTCAGTTCATATTTAAAAAAAAAATTCTTATCATAAGAATAATTGACAAGCTTGATTATGTACTAACATTCCATATAACTGCACTAAGTGACTTTTAACTGCAAGCCCTCATATTCAGACAACTCAAAACTACGGCAATGTCTGTGTGTGCCATTCCTAGTCTAATAGACCTCACGTCAATTTTCCATTTAGCACATGTGCTTTCACGTCTCAATAAAGACCTTGTTGATAGTATAACATAAGATAGACAACTCACTTGTCAGATGTAGTTTTTGCTGGTTTGGGGTTCTTCTTGGTAGGCTCAGATGCTGCAGTTTTTCGCTGTATTAAAAAAAAACATTTTTGACTTACGTGTGCAATAATAACAGAACCTCAGGAATTGGACATACGAGTGCATTAATTGCAGCAAGTAAACATTATTTACCTTTCCAGGAAAAAACACAAATCCCGTGGGTAGATATGATTTGGAATTAGGAGGATCCTGAAAATAAGGAATACCATATAAGTTGAACAAAGAAATGACTAACCTCTGATAAAATGTTGTCTAGTTTAAAATGTCCAATTTCTACTATATATTTACTATTGAACATAAAGGCCCGTTTAAACTTGCGATTTTTGCAGAGCGATTCTCGCGGCGATCGTCGCGCGACCATCGCCTGAGCTTCGAACATGCTTGAAAATTGGCTGCAAATTCGCGGCGATTTTCCATCGTCGCAACAATCGCAGTGCTGTTACACGTACGATGATTGGAGTTGCGCGTTTGCAAAGTGGCGATTGTCGCGCGGCAAAAATCACAAGTGTAAACGGGCCTTAAGATTTCGTTTAACTGCTATGTTGAAAGTTTTATATGGAAATGATCGTATCCTGTTGACTAATAGAAACGTGATTGGCACGAAACAAATGTTTTTCTKGTCATCACCAATATATATTCTTGCCGGACTTATATTTCCACTTTTGGTGGAAAAAACATTATGCCAATTACACTTCACTTGTTTGATCCCTTAGATTAAATATGTATTGTATTGAATAAATACCTAGAAACGTACCATGGTACATACTTCGACAATAAAGTACAGTATGTTCAAATGTTACATRGAAATTGACATTTATCTAATGTGGATGAATCAACAATATAACTATCTATTATAAAAATCTAACCATAGTATTAGGTAGAAACATTTTCTTGGGTAAAAGTGGTTGTCCTGGGAACTCTTCTGTGACTAACCCACTGGCCTACAAATATTAAAACAATAAGACTGTCATCAAGATTTATCTTCTGGACTGACAACTCAAAGGTTAATTACATCATAGAACTTATTCATGTGTACAATATGCAATATATTGACCTACCTTGCTAACAATCAGTCCATAAGCAAGATCACACACAGTATACAATGCCTGACAAGGGAAAAAAATGATTAAAATTAAACACATTGAACTATAATATTGAAGGGGCACTGCGCTTCACAATCTCATTTRTGGCTAAGCCTGTATTCCCAGACATTTCTTTGTTATTTCCTTTGTTTTTAGACAGTTCTTTGCACAAAATCGCCAGTTGTGACAACAGTGGTCACTTGCTTTGAAAAGGAGAAAAAGGCAAATTCTCAACTAATGGCAGGCCTTCTATAGAAGCACAGATTGAATGATAGTGTTAAGGCTTGGAGCAAAGCATAGACAATACACAGCAATTGCATCATGGGATTTCGACTGGTATTGACACAAACCATGGCTACAGTACAGCTCAGTCATAACACAAATACATGTAGACTATGCCATAATTTTGGACAACATGCATGCATTCAATGAAAAGCTATCTATTAAAAAAAACTATTCACCTCATTTGCATCTTGGTCATCTGGGTTCTGAGCATCCTTGGTCTGTTTGATTGTCTCTATGAGTTTCTTTAAGAGTCCAAAGTTTTCTGTTTTACTTGATAAAATTGGTTCAATAAAAAACCACAAATACCTAGAACAACAGTAATAAAAGGTCTTTTACATTCATCTAAAGACAGTGATGCCATAGGTTCTTTACAGTCACATTTATCAGTATATTAATATCTCTATTTTTAATTTCTCAGATTATCTAGTAATTAGTATATCATGAAGACAAAATAAGAAGCAAATGCAGTTTTATTGTTGTATAAAATAGGAATTCTGAATGTGGCCATCAAAGCTAATACTTACTCTTTGAACTGAACCAATGACTCATGTTCTTTTGGTTTAAAGTCAGGGTGGTGAGCCAGTAAGTGGATTACAGTTGGCAGTGCATACTCAGGAAGCAAAGAATGTGAACATGCTATCAATTAAAACAGAAAGGAACCTTGGTTTGAGTTTGCATCATTTAAAATACAAACATTTTTATCAATGGTCATTAGAGAACCTTTGCTTGACTGAGAGTTCAGTGGAGGAGGAAAAATCAAAGGAAGAATAACTCCACCATTAATAAGAAAATAGCATGGTCAACAGGACCATGACATTGCTTTTATTGTGTACCATTGAAAGGATAATTTATTATGGGAAATCATATTTGTATGTAATATAAGACTCTTGAAAACCTTTACTTGCTGTGTAAGGTAAAATAAGGAAAACATTTATGGTTAATYCTTTCAGCAGTACCTTGTGCAGCAGAGTGCTGTTTTAGATATTCCCTCCTGATAGAAACATTTCTTGTTATCATTTGACGGACCTAGATTGCAAAATCTGTAAGTAACATATCAAGCAAAAGGGACACAGGGAAGGGACTCCCTTAAAATAACAGAATAGATGTCTGACACTAACTTACCTTGATTTTCCGTTCTTTATCAGCCTCAGAACCTGCTAAAGCAAATATTCCTAGGTACTCTAAAGGGAGTTTTAGCGTGTCAAGAGCTTTGTGAAGTTTCTTTGTAAATATTGTCTTAACTTCTCCACAGCAATCCTGGAGAAAAAAAATATATACTTATTGTCATTCATATGAGGTAAACATTCATTTCTGTATTTCAGGTTTGCAAGTATTTTTAAAATTGTATTGTAATTTTTAATAATGCAGTGAAAGTTTTGTTCTCTGAAATTTCAATCTAAACACTATGGCAAATTTTATTAGAAGCTGATTAAATTGTATCGTCAACAAGACAGTTGATGAACTGAAAAATGTTACCTGCATTATCAATGCCAGTTTCTGAAAGTGTTCAAGAGAAATCACTTCTTCATAATGCATTTCTTGAGCAACCTTCAGTATTCCACAGGATGCAGCAAGTCGGAGACGTGAACAGTCATGAGAACTAAAACAAACAGCAATCTTATGAAAAYTCTAATGTTGAATTTTGACAATTGAAGGGTCGCATTCAAAAAAMCCCATAAGTGACTTTTTAGGGTTTTTTATCTTTTGCTAAATGGAAGAAAATTGCGTCCAATCACTTTTTTCTAGACTAAATTATCATCATGTTTGCTAGTTATTTCTTGTGATTTCTTTGGAAAAAGCTGGAAAAAAAAGACCCATTGTTATAGACTGCACCCTTCCCTTCCCCTCCCCAGATGATAGCTTCGGTTTAGTTCCAACCTTATGCTAGGTTTAGGGTTAGGCTCTAAAATCCTCCCCTCCCCCCTCCGCCAGAGTCAAAACTTTAAATTTTGCATAAAATCACATCAATAGCAAGGATGATTGAACTACTCATTTTTACATTAAAGCAATAGTTGAAGTCATAAAAATAAAGCAAAAAAAACATGCAGGTGTAAATAGTTGGAATATGTAAATCTAGGACATTTTACATTCTAGCTAGCAGTTGTCAAGCTAAAGCCACTGTAACTATGGGTCGTCCCCCCTTTTTTTGAAGGAAATTACAAGAAATAAGTAACAAATAAGACTATTTAGACTGAAAAGGAGTCATTGTAGACAATTTTCTTTGAAAATTTCAAAAATACCTTTTTCATTAATTTATGACATGAACCTATTACATACCATACACATCCATTGTTTTGCAAGTCTCCTCCATTGGCTAATAAAGTACTGAGCAAACGTAAAACAGGCAATGCAGAGTTATGATGGTTGCTCTTTAATCCTTGAAGCCATCTTATCATAAGCTTGATGCCTTTGATCTACAATATTATACAAATACCAGTAAGGATGATGATGACAATGAGGATGATTTTTCAAACCTAACAGTGATGATGACTAATTAACATCAATCCTTGAGATACAACTTGCATATGAATGATTTGATGTCAATTAATGAAATAAAAAAAWATATAAAGAAAACAAACAGTCTTTATGAAATATGGCAGCAGGTGATACCTTTGCTTGGGTTTCTCTTGTAACATCACAGTCCTCACACCACTCATCATCACCTTGTGAATCAGAATCTTCCACAGTACTCTGAAAAAATTAGTATTACAATCAAATGTAATGGCCTTGTAAAACAATTATTCAATATTAATGATAGAAATGACAACCTGTATATCATACATGTACAATGTAGCTAAGTTTGTAGAGAACTATTCTATTGTTCATGGTAGAAAACCAGACAGCAAAACAGTTCAGGGCATGGTCTGGTTAGTTATCACATTTTCTTGGATAATAATGCACAATTCACCAAACACAAAACTGTGACTGTCCTCAGTGAATGACCCATAATAACTCTCAAAATGGTAAGCCTTCATATTACAGGCCTAGAATATTTAAGAATTAAGGCGCCCAAAGAGTGCATGTGGTTACTCCCAAAGGCAATTATTTACATAAAAAGCAAATTACTGAATTATCACTGATGATAAGCCCGTCCAGTATAGAGCAAAAACTACATTATTGTTTAAAAAGGTGTTATTGCACTTATATTATAATGTACAAATATGAAGAACAACCTTTTTTATGGAAACTTGAACAAACTGCTTTAATAAATAGTGTTTTAACACTTAAAAGAGTRTAACATGTTATAAGTGCCTTAATATAATTATTGCAAAATATTTTTTCTTTAAATCAAATGCAGTATGTGTAGCAAAAATCTTTTGATTTTGTCATAATGAAGCTTTATCATTGTCGCAAATACATGCTCCGTGTGACACAGGAACTAGTTTGTATTTAACCCAAAAATCTCAGTAATCACAACTAAATAGTCTGACTCAAATATCCACTTTGCGTCTCAATATGTAGGAGTTTTTTTCCTTGGCAGTTTCGCAAATCGTTAAAAAAAYGCCACTTTCTGTAGAAAATTGAACAGTGAATGTGATAATAAGGCATCAATATGTTTTAGATGGGTTTTAATATGTTTTCGTCCACTGAATAATTATTCTTCTGTAAAAGTATGAATCTTAACTTACATATCCATGAAATATTTTTGAAGACGTGATTGTTTGGGAGGCAAACAAGTTGGTGGTAGAAAATGCATCATTTCTGCATAAATCAGCCAAATACCTCCTTTTATGTCCGACGGATAATACTCAGTTGTTTTGTGCATAATTTCCAGCTCTTTTTGAGCGTTTTAGCTACATTTTAGACCCATTTAAAATGAGACAACTGTTTGCCGCCGTCTGTCCGCCATTTTGTCTTCATCTCAAAGTTGAATATTTTAATATTTACATTAAAATGTAAATTGACGTCATGCTATTGTTACAGACTTGTGGACTTGTGGACATTCTTGGATTGTTTACATCAGTCGATAACATAGTGGATAAGGACGGGAGTAACCACAAAAAAACTAATTATCTGTTATTCTTAAGTATTGTGCTATAATATTTATATTCAGTCTCTATCATTGAGTAGACTTACCCTGTCTTTTACAAGTAATTCTTTGACCACAAAATCTCTGATGATTGCTTTTTGCTTGGTTTCAAAAATAGATGGTGCCAACACAGCAACTTGAGCCAGTGTTGTAAGGTAAGACAACAACAATGGGTGGTCATAATCAAGATTCTCAAAAACATTCTAAAATGATAATGACACAATTTAAGTAACCACTGACAATGATATGTATTACAATAATTCTCAACTCAAAAATAAATCACTCTAACAATATTCTAGATAGCATATACACTTTGTTTAAAATACCCTATGATCAGAGGAATTTTTCCACTATTTTTTTTGTTCGTAGAAGGGGGTGAAAAAATCCTCTGTTCTCAAGGTATTTTTTAAAATTGCACTAGCTTGCACTTATACATCTAGATGATGAATTTGCTAAATTTTGTTAGGAAACTATTTGGTATATATATTGACTCCAAAGAAAAAATGTAAATAGCAACACTCACACTAAAGATTCTTTCAAAAACAGAAGAAGGATCATTAAAAATCTTTGCAATGGATTTCATAGCATATTTGGCTTGCTGTGGTGTTCCTTTACTGGCCAGTTTAGTCAGGACTGGCTGATAATATCTACAGAAGAAACAAAAACGCTTTACAATGTATTAATAAATTGAACAAATAAATATATAACTACCTAGATGGACATGAAATCAAAGCCACAATTGAAAATGGGTATGCTTTGGAGTAGGTCATTGCCCTCATGCAATTACATGCGACCATTACATGCATTTTATATTATATTATACACCTACACATAGGAGMAAAAACTGCCCCATGCCTGATTTCAGAGTATACCTTGGATTAAAACTGGCTGATTTTTTAGGAAGAACTGGAGGACCCAGAGGGAAAAAAAGTACTAAAGATAAAAAACAAACTCCAGCCAAATGTGATGCCTTCACTTAGGAATTAAGCCAGGGCCACAATAGTAACAGATGGTGGCATACAATATACTGAAGATTTTAACACTTACATGGATACATCTTTATCAGTGGTTTCCATTCCATCAGCAACATTAGACAATATGTGAAGGGCATGGTTGACTGAAACAAATTATAGTATCAATGAACTTGCTTCTAGCATTATTAACAAAACTAGCTATCCATAATACTATAATCCAATCGACTAATGTTTTCTTATCCACATTAATATCAAATCCATGTTATTCAATTTTCTTGTTTGTTTTTGTTTGTTTAAATGATAGACATCACAAGTGCTTGCACTTTTTTACAATTGTTGTAATGATAACAATACCTATTTGCTGATCGCTGTGTTTTAAAAAGATTAAGATGGTTTCATAACATTCCTTGTTTCTGAAGTGAGATGGGAAAATCCCTGAGAGTGTCTGAAATACAAAATATAATAATAMATTAATTGAAAATATACATGGATATAATTCATGATATTATCAACATGTTTGGTAACATGTACATTATGCATGGGCCCTAAATTGCAAATATGAGCTTTGATAATAGTCAGTGGTCAGTCTGATACTGATAAGTATTGGGGAAGTACTGATAATTACAAGAAACAKGTAATCACACTTGAATTATGTTATTCAACCATACATAGTTCAGGTACTTCCATTCTTAGTTTGTATTATTAAGTATTGTGAAATGTTTATAGCTATACACTGCCATTCTAAAAAGACCTTGGCTAATAACTCAGTTCAACCATTTTCCATTGTCATTATTATTACAGCTCCATAGAACTCTTGTATTACCAAAAGCAATTCCATGCCCTTGTTTCCTTTTAGGTCAGCACTATCATTGCAGTCATCATCATCTTCTTCATCATCATCAAGACCTTCGAAAAGATTTTTCACCATTTCAAGCAGCACTTTAACACATGCTGTATCAACCATGACTGGTGCAGCTCTGTCTAGCAAAGCTTTGATAGTCTCTAAGATAGGGTTTCTGGCACCAAGTTTTACCACCAAGTCAGCCTATTAATACAAGTTTGTAACGATTAGGTCTGTTATTTTTGTCAAATACTTTAGAAAGCCATGTACTCACCACTGCTTTGAATACTGCTGGACATCCTGCATTAACATCAACAGCTATCTTAAACAATTCTCTTGTTCTGACTTCATCCAACATTCCTTGCAATTTCTTGAGGTTTTCTTGAGATTTATATGGCTCTGGCATAGCTCCTGGAAACGACAGTGCAGGCTAAACAATCAATTGTCACAAACCAAAACATCATGATCATTATACTCACTTGCAAGTGTTATGACATGCGACAGCATTGCAGCATCATTTTCTTCAGACTGCAAAAAGAATACATCTCATTATTTATGTATTTTCAAATCGGCATATTTAATACCATTAGATATTTGAAATCTAGATTCTAGATTTCAAACATCTAA